TTATAAGTGTTTTTAGTATTTTTTATTATTTTCAGACTTTTCTTGTTTTGATAAAATAAGTTTGTGTCGCTATATTTTAAGAAAACATCAAAAATGTTTAAGAAATAAGTAAATAAAACTTGAATAAATTAATGTTTTTAAACTAGAATCAAGTTATTTTGAGCTAGTATTATTTCATTATTCTCAGAAATCTTCAGTCATATTTTTCTTCTTCCATTGTTTAAACATTGAAAGGAACTTGCCTATCTACTATAAGGATGACTTTGAAGAAAAAACAACTGGATATTATTATTCTATAGACAAAAAGAATGCACACATGTGTGGATTAGACGTGATTTAACCCAGAATATTAGCATAAAAAAGTAAGAAAAATATATTTTATAAATATATATATAGTTTGACTACTTATACTTACTTTTGGTGATATTGAATGTTTATTTGTACATAATATGCGTTTAGAGGTGGGAATAAGCTTTCAAAAGAGATATAGCTTGACTATATTGACACAAGTGAATTCTCAGTGCTAAAGCAGGCCCTGTGTTTTGTTTGTTTAAATAAAGCTTTTAAAACTTCAGTAAAAAAGATCTGTTTTCAAGTAATAAAACGATAAAATTGAATAAAATAAAAATGCAATAAAAATTGCCGTTGGTTCAGATGTGTATTTTGTACTTTAGCAGCGGAGAATATGAACAGAATAAACAACAGTTTTGATCCGTGAGTAGAAAGGACTCGTGGGTCATGTTGCGTCAAAAGAGTCGTTATTTTGCGATTTAAAATGTTCCTTTAACTGTTGAACGTCACTATTAAAGGGCCCATATCACGGTTTTTGACTTTTCTCTGCTTTAAACATGATTACAATGCTATTTGGCCTTCATACACAAGTCCACAGTAGTTTATTCATTGATTCTGTCAATCTTTTGTAAGAGAGCAATCTGTCTCCTTCCCCAGCGTGAGGCACAGAAACGCTCGGGTCCACTTCAGTGACGAAAACCACACTGATGACGCGCATGACGCGCATGACCCCGTTTGCTTTGTATTTAAAATAGTTGTTAAATACTTTTGTCAAAACGGGGTAAACAATACACAATTAGTATGCTGTTTTTTGTCAAAAATAATAAAAATTAAAGCCACAAGCGGCGATGAAAGGCCTCGCCACTCTTGCGACCGCCTCCCAGGCGCCAGTCCCACAAGCGTCACGCGGCGTACTTGCCGACGAATTGGCAGCCCGATCTGACCAGGGTTACATGCATAAAAGTTCATTAATATGAAAAAGAGTGTCCCTAGTGGTCACCTCCGGGACATGCACCCTCTACGTAGAGTAGTATTTTGCTCGTACAGATGTCAAGATTTGATTTTGCTACTTTGGTGAAGATCGGAAAAGTTTAGGTCAGAAGCCTTCCATAGGTGGCCCTGTAGAGTCATATTAGGTGTGTGTTTTCACACCATGTGAAAGGTGTAGGACTTTGAAACGTGTTTGAAATGATGCTTCATGAACTATGAACTATTTGAGTCTTTCAGTAAATTGTGTTGATACAACAAACACATCCAAAGTAATACAGTTCTACAGAAAGTGATTAATTGAGGAAAAACTACCAAGAGGTGGATTAATTAAACACAACAAACCATTTATTCCCAATAAATAAATACATTTACTTTGCAACACAAAAGTTATTATGGGTAGACCGGGACTCAAACGCTATATCTTCTGCTTCGGAGTCCTATATACCGACTGCGCCACACAGCTGTTGTGAAATGTATTATCCAGCATATTATTACTACTAACTTGAAGCCTTGATATATGAGGATTTACTAAAGTGAAACGTTTTTAATTGTATTTCATATGAAGTAGTTTCTCTATACTTAGTACAGGACTGCTCCACATCACGCACACACACGTACGCACACACACACATGTACAGTACGCACACAGAGGCAGACGGGGACAGCCAATACAGTCTATGGTACAGCCACGGATCACAAAGCACCTGTCAAAGCAATGCACTCTCCGAACTATATGAAGCACTATATGAACCGTCACGTGGTGCGGCCGCTACGCAAGGCTTCGAACGTCACCACATACGTCACCAACACACGCCTCGAACCACGCTTCAAATAATACTTCCCTTTTTTACTCGGTACACGCTTCGAAGACCCGGCACGCTCAGCACATCACTAGTGTGAACGGAGAAGGAGGACGCGGAGTAGGAGCAGCCCTTAATCAATGGTAAACTAAAGATCCATGTGAAAAAATTTACTTCTCACTGTTCTCAGGTCAAATATTTATATGCGACTGAAATGCGATTAATCGTGATTAATTAATTACAAAGCCTCTAATTATTTAGATTTTTTTTTTTATCGCGTCCCGGCCCTAGTAATAATTTTAAACTGAGCCTAAAACAGTCTTCATCAAACTAACCCAAAAACAGTAGAGCCTGACCCTGGGAATCAAACCCCAGTTGCCAAAGCCCCAGTCCAGAGCTTTAACCACTACACAACACTGTAACTCACCATGTCAATTTATAGGGTCCTAGGTTTTCAGTGTACCACAAAATTAACAAATGAAATGCAAAATGTTGCTGACTGGCTGTGTCAAAACTGTCTGACATTAAACACAGACAAAACCGTTTCAATGTATTTTACAAACCAAGGTAAGCATATCAGTTGTCCAGATATTTTATTAATGGCAGTAAAATTAAAAATGTTGATGTATTCTCATATTTAGGAGTGACCCTGGATCGAAACCTGACCTTCAAACATCATGTAAAGAAACTCTGTTACACTCTTAAGTTTAATTTGGCCAATACAATAATGAAACTCAGCAGCCTGTTTCAATATAATTTGTATTAAGGCAAAAGGTGCCCCCCTAGTGGTCAGGTCGGGTATTGTAGCTCTGAGTGTAATATTACTATATGAAATAAACTGCTTACTTGCACGAAAACGGTGAAGATTTTCTTACTTTTTTGCGATGATTATATAACTTCAATCCATCCAGATTAGGAAATGACATGGTAGAACTCTGTGCGATGAAAATCCAGGGACTAGTACGAAGCCAAAAATGCGACACCTTGAACTGCCTGTAGGTGGCGCTGTTGCACTCACAGTTGTATGTTGCATATCGTTGTGTTCAGGGTCATGCGCTGTATTTCTGAATTCATTTTTAGCCTCATCGGACAAATATTTTGCCCCAAAAAGCTCATTCATTCACTTTCCGGCGCCCCCAGTGGTCAGGTGTAGGACTTACAACTTTTGCATAATGTAATTTTTTACTCGTCTCGGTCCAGAGATTACACTCAGTGATTTTCGGGCCGATCCGAGCACTAGTGCCCTATTACTTTTCAACAGGTGGCGCTAAAGAGCTCGAATTAGGCGAATGATTTTAGTGTCATTGCGTTCAGGCCATAACCTAATATTACTGATGTGAGTCTCAGCTCTGTAGGTCTGAGCCTGTGGCCCTCAGGGCTCAGCGAAAATGACCAAAACGAAGGCCTTATTCGCCATGGCGAGGGACGAAAACGGTGAAGATTTTCTAACTTTTTTTTCGATGATTATATAACTTCAATCCGTCCAGAGCGGGAAATGACGTGGTAGAACTCTGTGTGATGAAAAACCAGGGACTAGTTCGAATTTCTAAATGAAAAGTCAAATTAGTGGCGAAACTTCGGCCCCTCATGGCCGACTTCCTGTTGGTCCCAGACATGTGCTTAGAACGGCTTTCATGCTCGTCTCATAGAGATCTATCACTCATCCGAATTTCGTGTACCTACTCCAAAATATGCAATCCTGCCTCCAATAGAAATGGCAAATTTTGAATTTTCAAGGGGGCGCTATTGATTCGCCTTTTGTCGGACAATCTGGAAACGTCCGTTTTATCAAATTTTTCGCCGGACCGGTCGTTTTAAACCCCCCATGTGCAGACTTTCGTGCATGTCTTCAGGGTCAAAAATCAAATTGAAGATGCGGAAAAAAAATAATAATATGAAACCGGTGAATAACAATAGGCCTCCCCAATACTTCGTATTGGCTCGGCCTAATAAAAATAAATTAAAAGCCGGTGGGAGGTGATTGACGGATCAAAACAGCGAATCAGAGCGCACAGGCTCCGGCTCCCGAGTCCAGCGTCTGTGGTCTGGTCTCGCGGACACCACATAGAGCTGCTGTTTTTATGCTTTTGTCAGCAACTAAAAGTGTTAGGATCACGTCAACTTGAATGAAGTGTGTTATGGGTGTAAATATGTGACACACTATTTGGCCCTAAGAGGAAGAAAGTGGCTCAACTTTTTTCATCTGTTCATCTCATGGATCTATTAAAATACCGGTTCATCTGCGACACTTCACTGAGACTGTTCCAGAACTACAGGGACAATGGAACTGGACTTACTCAAAGGCTGATCTGGAAACACGTTATTCCCACGGTAAAAGACGTAACTCGGACCCCCTGGATCTGTAAGTAGTGACGCTAACTCGCTGTATACTTCTGTAAACTAAATAACTAGGGTCTGATTGTGCATCGAGGACATAGGGCTCGATGTGACGGATTGTCATTGTTGGAAAAAGTTTATTCTTATGTATGAAATTACTAAGTACAGGTGATAAATGACAAAAACGTGATGCTACTGTACGTCACCGTGCGGGCGGGGGGAGGCGGGCTCACAGGGAGAGGAGCAGACTCTGGATCAGCTCGTCAGCTCGTTTGAGTCTCTATACAAGAGATGGCTCTAATCTCACAAGCTTTGATTGTTGTGTGGTGTATCATACACATTAATATCACACATGTGTATAGGATTGAGTGTGAAACATGAAGAAAAGCGTGATATAGGACCTTTAATATGTTTACACTCGTCAGTTGTTCACAATCACTTCTGAAAGTATTATTTGTTTGATGATAATATTTAAAGGACACTACCATAGATCTTATCAAAGCTCTATGGATACTACAGGACGTTATTATGAAACACCATCAGCTGTCACGCAAGTTTACCTCAGTCGGATGTGTTTGTCGGATGAGTCTGAAGCCCAGGCCAGAATCTCAAAGTCCCGGCCTGGCTCGGTACAATTTGGCTGCTGCTGTCTACGTGCAGCGGCTGCCCGTCGTGTCCGCAGACTGTTCTCCCAGAGCAGCGCTTCAGAGACATGATGGCCCAGGTAAGAATATTATTGTTTTTTTTGTTTGTTTCATTATGCATACATTTTCTTTATATGACTGCATTTAATCCCTGGTCTGTTAATCTCATTATCTACTGATAGGTTAAAACCATTATTTATTCAGTATTATGCTTTTTATGTGTCATTTTGTTATTCTATGGAATCTACGCATTGAGAGAGACGTACACACACACTGAGAGAGACGTACACTGAACCACACACACACACACACATACACTGAGAGAGACGTACACACACACACACTGAGAGAGAGAGAGAGAGAGACACACACACACACACACACATATTTTATTTAAACAGAAATAGTCTTGTAAAAGTAAACTTGGGACTAATCGGACAACAACATTCTGTCTTTAACTTTTACAGAACATACATATTTTTATGCTTTAAGATAAGATAAGAGTTCCTTTATTTGTCTCTCTGTCTGAAAAAGCTGATCTGTCAGAGGTTAAATATACATGTAAAAAGTGAAAACTAGAGGTAGAATTAAAGATGGATTTTAATACATGGGTAATAAGGAGCTTTAAGTATCAAATTGTGAATGTCCAGAGGAAGGAGACTGTTTCCATTTACTATGAAGCTAAGTAACCAACCTTAGGTAAAAGTCAAGTTAAACATTTAGAAGTTTTAAGACATACATTAGCGTTATCTAACAAAGAGCTGCAGTGAAATATGATTAAGTAAATGTCGTCTCAGATCGAGTTGGAGAAGAGTTTGTAATCGGACCATGAGTTGCGGCTGATTGAAGATGCAGAGCGGCTGAAGAGGAAGCAGGCGGACGACTATGACTCTGATGAAGAGGACGTCCAGATGGATCAGGTACTGGCCCAGGACCTGGAAGACCCCTGGGAGCAGAAGTTCAGGAACATGCAGTTTACTCCGAGAGTTAGAGGTCAGTGGAAAAGGATTTAAGTACTTAGTTTTCATCTTTTAGAATGTGATTTATTTTATTCGGTAAAAATACATGTTGAAAAGAATGAGTCTGTGTGTGTGTGTGTGAATGGTTGGTGGTGGTGGGAGGGGCTTGTCAGTGTGCCCCAGGGCAGCTGTGGCTACAGTAGTAGTTTATTACCACACTGTAGGTGTGGCCCCCAGGACTGTTTAAGTATAATAAGATACCCCCCAATTAATTTTCATTTTAATTAACCCTTTTATTTTACTACTAATGTTTCTTAATTTTGGGCTGTGTACTATTTACCCGTTTCTGGTGCTATGTTAATTTGCGCCAGAAGATGGCAGTAGTGGCACGTAAGTAGGAGACTAACGTCCTGGTCTCGCGTCTCGCGCATGACATATGTTCACTGTACTGTAATGCCTCCACAGTCACCAGTCTCAATTCATAGAGCACCTTTGGGATGTGGTCAAACAGGAGATTCAGGATGGATGTGACAGCCCGACGAATGTGCACGAACACTGCACTGTTGCTATCAAATCTGCCAACCAAACTCTGAGGATGTGTCCGTACCTTGTTGCATATATGCCACCAAAGGACTCAAGCAGTTTTGAAAGCAAAGGGGTCCCCAACCAGGTACTAGGCAAAAGGCCTTTCTTCATAAATGCAGGAGGGCTCCAGGGATCAAATTTTTTTTATTTTGATAGAAGACACATAGGTCGCATCCCCTGGCCTACAAAGCTAGGCTTCACAACACGCGAGCTAGCCAAACATTGTTCCAGCTATATACAGTTCTCGTCTTTCCAGTTGCTAAGTCTCTATGTGCAGGCTGCTGCCCGACCACGGCAACCCACACCCCCGCAGGCGCACCTCCAGGGACCGCCGGGGCCGGGGGAAGACCTGTGCACCAGTCGGAACCGGGTACCCACTATTAAGCCCCCCCCTCGGACTGCACACCCTTAAGCGCTGCTGGAAAAACCAGGCGTGCCTGGGACTACAAACAGAACAAAACGTGCCTAGTACTACAAGCTAGACACTTAGTCTGATTTTCGAAGTGTGCCTGGTCCTACAGCCTAAACACTTAGGTTTTTTCTCAAAACACTTAGTCTGATTTTCAACGTGTGCCTGGTCCTACAGCCTAGACACTTAGGTTTTTTCTCAAAACACTTAGTCTGATTTTCAACGTGTGCCTGGTCCTACAGCCTAGACACTTAGGTTTTTTCTCAAAACACTTAGTCTGATTTTTGAAGTGTGCCTGGTCCTACAGCCTAAACACTTAGGTTTTTTCTCAAAACACTTAGTCTGATTTACAATGTGTGCCTGGTCCTACAGCCTAAACACTTAGGTTTTTTCTCAAAACACTTAGTCTGATTTTCAACGTGTGCCTGGTCCTACAGCCTAGACACTTAGGTTTTTTCTCAAAACACTTAGTCTGATTTTCGAAGTGTGCCTGGTCCTACAGCCTAAACACTTAGGTTTTTTCTCAAAACACTTAGTCTGATTTTCAACGTGTGCCTGGTACTACAATCTAAAGGAAGGGAGGAAAAAGGACCGGCCACACCCAGGCCGTCCCCTCTTCCCCCCCCCCCTGAGACCCCCCCCCCGGGCCTGGTCTCCAGCTACGTGCCATAACGCGGGCAGCTTGGTTAACCACGGGGGTTCACCGGCAGCCGCGCCCGGACCACGCGGCAGGCGGACACCTGGCATTGTGGGGGGGGAGAGACGGGCAGGGTTTTTGACCCGGAGGTTAGACACGGGTCTGTCTGTACTTGAGGGCACGAACCGCGGACCGACGGGGCTAAACCTGCGAGAGGAACAGCCCCCTGCCGCGCTGCGAAACCCCAGCTGCGGGAGGGACACGGGCCCTGTGAGGAGGACCGTGTTTCCCGATGGATGACAAGTGCACAGGGCGCGGGAGCGACCAGGCACGCCTGGGCCACCCCCCACGTCCCCCCCACCCGGGCCAGGCCTCCAGTCACGTGCCGTAACGCGGGCAGATCGATCAACCGCGGGGGTTTACCAACAGCCGCGCCCGGACCACGCGGCAGGCGGAGGCCTGGCGCTTTGGGTTAGGGGAAGACACGGGGGAGGTGTGTGAGCCCGAAGGTGGGACACAATTCCGGCTCCAATTGAGGGCACGAACCGCGGACCGACGAGGGTCGAACCTGCGAGAGGAATCGACCCCCTGCCGCGCTGCGAAACCCCAGCCGCGGGAGGGACACGCGGGTGAGCGCGTGTTTCCCGATGGATGACAAAGCGACCCTCAGACAGGCGTAGCCCCGGGAGCAACCCGGGGCCGCAAGGTGCGTTCGAAGTGTCGATGATCAATGTGTCCTGCAATTCACATTAGTTCTCGCAGCTAGCTGCGTTCAGTTTTTTTGGTTTTTGTTTCCGAGGAAGGCCACTTGGACTCTGGAAGACGAGGGGTCGCCTGGACACGACTGGACCCCGCGGGCGCTCTCCGTCCCAGGGTGCCCCCGGGGGGGTTCCCTGGTCGAGGAGACTTTAGTACCCTCCCTCTCCCCGTGGGGGAGAGGCGAGCGTTGGGTACCCGCGGGTGGCGCGGGGGGGAGGCCCGGGCCCAGGCCTCCTTAACCCCGCGCCGGGGACAAAGTTCCGAGGACGGACGTACCCCCGCCTGTCTAGAGCCAGCGGGCGTCACTACGCGAGAGGACTGGCGCCTGAGCCCGGGGGCTCAGCCGCAGCCGTCGTCCTCTCGCCATGTGCCGCCCTGCTAGGCATGTGCTGGGTTCCCGTCCTGTGCAATGAGACGTGAAGCGTGTGTGGGGGAAGAAGGGAGAAGAGAGGCCTGAGGGAGAGGTAAGAGAAAAGCTGAGGACAGGCCTAGGCACTCTGTCTCTCTGCCTCCCGCTCGGTGTCTCCAGTCCTCAGTCCCACCATAAACTCCCGACTGCCCCGGGCTCCACGACAGCTATGGGGCACCCCAGAGGGGTCCTTGGCTTTTTTTCCCTGGGCGGCCTCACGTGGCCGCGGCACGCGCCGCAGACCCACCGAGAGCCAGAACTGGTAATGCCTACCCCGTCGGGCGAACGCACCCTGGTCGGAGTGCGGGGCGTTCGTGGGCTTTCGTTTGGAGCCTGTCTGGGCCCTAGTGAGGGGGTGGGCCCTCGGTTTTTTTCCCTGGGCGGCCTCACGTGGCCGCGGCACGCGCCGCAGACCCACCGAGAGCCAGAACTGGTAATGCCTACCCCCTCGGGCGAACGCACCCTGGTCGTGTGCGGGGCGTTCGTGGGCTTTCGTTTGGAGCCTGTCTGGGCCCTACTGAGGGGTACGAGAAAGCGTGTCTTCTGACCTCTACGCCTGAGTGAAGGCCCAACGTCTCTTGTGAAATCTGGGGTAGACAGGGAATCTCATTCTTGCCACAGACAGGTCCGCCAAGAGCCACCAGCCCGGGGCCTCTAGGCATTATAGTTGATCCCCTTCCCAGCGCTCCGCCAGGGCCGTGACCGACTCCAGCGGGGCTGATCCGAGGACCAACTCAATTGGTATGGTGACGGGCGGTGTGTACATGTTAGGCCAGCTCTGCTTGCTTAACCTAGTATTTAGACAGCGTAGCGTGTGCACCATTCAGGGTCTAATAGCTGGTCATCCCACTTGGGATCCCAGAGGGTGAGCGCTCTGAGCCTGTCAAGGCTCTAATTAGGTTTCAAGAAAAGTGTTCTTCGCCCGACCACCGCGCCTATAAGGGCCCAGCCCCAGCACCCCGAGGTGGGAGTCTGGCGTCTCTGTGCATCCGGGAGAGACAGGGCGTCTCGGTCTCGCCACCCACAGGTCCGGCGAGAGCCCCCAGCCCGCGCTGGGAGGCTGCCGAGTAGCGTCAGGCATGCAGTGTGAGGGAACCGTCTGGCTCGAATCACTTCCACCAGGAGCCCCGCAGAGGCATGCCGTGTGCACCATTCGAACGGCCTCGTCGAGACGAATCCGAAGATACCAAATTTGTATGGGTTTATTCTCATTCCGAGATTGAGACCACGACGGGCAGGCGCTTCAGGTCATCCCACAGTCACTCACCTTCCATCGGACTGATATTCTCTGCCTGTAGCCTGGATGTCTCTGGATTGAAACACATACTCTCTCATATTCCCCATATAGGTGAGGGGAACCGTCTGGCTCGAATCACTTCCACCAGGAGCCCCGCAGAGGCATGCCGTGTGCACCATTCGAACGGCCTCGTAGAGACGAATCCGCAGATACCACATGTGTCTATGTTTCTGTTCATCGACCACCCTCTTCCCATAGGCCCTGAGAAGTGGTTGACCTGCTTTTTGACGCAGTGAGGATTTTTCGTCAGCCGGATCCGGCTGAATTTCAAACGCTCTAAACGCCGTGTCGGACGACCGCCGGGTCACTCACTGGCTACATCCCTGAAATTCAGCCCCCTGCAATAAGAGACGGGAAAGTTATAGCCGTTTTGGTACGTTTTTAGTCAGCCCGGGAGTCCCGGGCTGAATTTCCAAACCGCCCTAGAACCGGCCCCCGGTGTCGGACCGACACGCCCGAGACGTCCACGGACGCGTCTCGACCTGGGCTACCATCCCTGAAAATTTCAGCCCCCTGCAATAAGAGACGGGAAAGTTATAGCCGTTTTGGGGACGCAGAGTGAGGGTTATTTCTCGTCAGCCCGGGAGTCCCGGGCTGAATTTCCAAACCGCCCTAGAACCGGCACCCGGTGTCGGACCGACACGCCCGAGGTGTCCACGGACGCGTCTCAACCTGGGCTACCATCCCTGAAAATTTCAGCCCCGTGGAATAAGAGACGGGAATGTTACGTCGGTCTGAAATCAGCGGGGGACAGCGCCCCCGTGGAACCACGGGGGCTAGAGACATGGGGTTTGGACCCACGCACTCCTCCGGACCTGGGCTACATCCTCCGTGAATTTCACTCATAGGAAATGAAAGACAAAAAAGTTACGGCCTGCGCAATAGGGACTTGAGCTCGCTAGACACTTTGTCATTTTTTCCTCCAAAAGCCTGTGTGCCTAGGAATACAGAATCTCCA